ATGTTGTTTATTTGTCTATATGGTGTTTTTAATATGCCTTTAGACAAACCATGTGCCAATCTATTAATCAACACCATTGTTGAGTATTTTCTCCTTAAAACTGTGGTTTCCCAAAGGCTGACCCAGAAATACGGTTTGAAACAGTCCTCGGTTTGCTACGTCACAAACCAATAACCAATCACGTCAAGGTATCGATTCCTATCACTAGCATGCAAAATATAACAATACCAGCAAAAAAACTAAAATAAATTAAAGCAAAAAACCCATGAAGCTGTGGTTTAATGTGAATTTAGAACCGCTAACTTGCATTATAACCCGTGGCAACAGTGTAAAAGTAGCCCGGAGTCAGACCCACCTCTCCCGAATCTGCACTTCACACGCGTATGCTCGCGGGCGCAAATTAAGAATCACAAACGGCTGTATTCGAGTCTTCAAGGTATTTTAGGACACATCATCGTCAAGTAAGTAACTTTAACGAATGTTACAGTATTCACTGTAGTTGTCCGCTAGTAAAAAGACAGTTTTATCAGTCATTATCCATGTATGCCATGTATCCGTGTATTCACTACAGTTCAGTGGATCAGGAGGCGCTGGCTGGTGTGACTGAGTGGAGGCGGGACTAATTTGCATATTCATAGATCAGCATATAGAAAATGAGGCAAGGGTGTAGAGTTGCATTCAAGCTATTTTAAGGAATGAGAAAATAATTTTCACAAGAAAAATATGTAATTTATCAAATAAGTTTTAAGGGATGAAATATTTGACTACAGGGGGACTTTAAGTAAAATTTCATTAATGTAGTGGTACTTTTACTTGAGTAGAATATTTTCGTACTCTTTCCACCTCTGCATTCTGCAATATGTAAATAAATTTTTTTATGACTGGATTCCACTATTCTGTCCTTGTTTTACACATCACGGAAATCATAGGGTCCTTCTATCTGTCGTTGATCTGTCCTTTCTCCTTCTCTGCTAGGTGAGGATGGGGGTGATGGATATGAGACGGATCATCAGGATTACTGTGAGGTTTGTCAGCAGGGAGGAGAGATCATTCTCTGTGACACCTGTCCACGAGCTTATCACATGGTCTGCTTGGACCCTGATATGGAGAAGGCACCTGAGGGCACCTGGAGCTGCCCACACTGTGTGAGTGAACCAACTCTGAATCTCCACATGCGTTCAATATAAAACTGCAGCACTTGCCTCCTGTAAATGATTGGTTTTGTCCAAAGAGATGCATGTCAAGCCCTGATGTGCCACTGTATTCTGAATCATCTCTTCCTCTTTCAGGAGAAGATGGGCATCCAGTGGGAGGCTCGTGAGGACGCATCAGACGGTGAGGAGGATAACGAGATGTTAGGTGAGGCAGAAGAGGATGACCATCACATGGAGTTCTGCAGGGTTTGTAAAGATGGTGGAGAGCTGCTGTGCTGTGACTCCTGCCCCTCGTCTTACCACATCCACTGCCTTAACCCACCCTTACCCGAGATTCCCAACGGCGAATGGATCTGCCCTCGCTGCACCGTGAGTCAACTGCATTAAAACTTGTAAATGGGCCTAAATGTCTGAGGTCACATGTGGCACTGTCAGTTTTCAAGAGATTTCATAATTGACTGATCAATTTAATGACTTACCATTAATGTTACTAGGGCTGACACGGTGAGGAAATTTCCCTTGCGATAATTTTGAGTGGCTCAATAGCACGGTATGCGGTATTATCGCCACACACACACACACACACACACACATATATATATATATATATATATACTCTGTGTGTTTGTGTATTACGGTATAAGTAACGAGGTCATATTCAGAAACCAATGAAACCGAAACTAAATAGCGTTGAAACAGGAAGTGAAGTAAACAGAAGAGAATGACAAAATAACAGTCCACATAACAGAACATGAACCTGACAATAAGATCGTTAGGCTATCATTAGTCTATATGTATAACAGTTAGTTCTGATCTGATCTTCTGATCTGACTGGACGAGAGATATTTCCACCTGCGCACGCGCGTTCTAGACGGGCTGTCAGTCAGTGCAGTAACAGTGCTGCGCCACAAGGTGCTGTCTTTGAGTGAGTCTTTAATCCGTTCATTCAGCTACACGATCAAAAACGCTGATTCATTCATTCAAAGAGACGTAATGAAACACGCTGTTGAACTCATTTTAACTTTGAGCTGACCAGCTATGCGTCGATGCTAAGACAGAGATTTCGCTTTCCTTGAACATGACAACCTATTTTCTCAAATATATATGACTCGGCCTGGAGGACAGACGCAAGTAATCGCATGCGCTCAGTCGATCTCTCTCTCATTCACTGTCTGTTTAGGCTTGTTAAGTGCAAATCTACTGAGCCTCTGTACAAATCAGCATGACTTATATATATATATATATATATATATATATATATATGTATGTATATATATATAATCTGTGTGTTTGTGTTACGATATAACTAACGAGGTCATGTTCAGAAACCGAAACCAAATAGCATTGAAACAGGAAATTAAGTAAACCGAAGAGAGGACAAAATAACGGTCCACATAACAGAACATAAACCTGACAATAAGATCGTTAGGCTATCGTTAGCCTATATGTATAACAGTTAGTTCTGATCTGATCTTCTAATCTGACTGGACAAGAGACTTTTTATTAGGGCTGCACGATAAATCGCATGCGATATTTAACGCGCATCTTATCAGTAAAGCCGGTTCTGTAATCAGTGGTAAATCTCCATCACGTGCGTGCTTTCACATTGAGCAGCATTAACTACACAGAGTCGTTGTTCACTGACGAGCTGTGCAAAACCACGTTCATATTCGTGCGATTTTTTTTTGCGCAGCTCGTCAGTGAACAACATTCAGTCCAAATGTGTGACGTGTAAAACAAGAAGGGCATAACCTTACGAAAAAAGAAAACGCGCAAAAATTGCTGTTGCTGTGGTTCTTGCATTCCTCTGCGGTTTACTCGTCAATAGCGAGTAGCGGTTATCGTGACAGCCCTAAATGTTACTACAGCAAAACGTATGTCGGAGACTCAAATAACATAAACATTTCCTACTTTTGAATAATAATAATAAATAAAATGTGTTATACCATTAATGTATTTTATTTAATATACGTGCATAATAACGTAGTATATTTAGATAATTATAAATTGTATATAATATTTATATAATATAAATGTAATACCAAAACAAAATGATTATAACTACAAATTATATTTACAAAATTGTTTTATTCAGTACAAATAGTGTACTTTTAAATTGTAATATAATTCATATAAATGTAATGCATTTAATAGATAAATTTAATAAATCTCATATTTGTATTTTTTTTGTATAATATGCATGCATAATAAATAAATTTAGTATTAAAGTAAATAAATGTAATTAGGACTCATAGCATACAAATAGCCTACTTTTGAATTATAATGTAAATGTAAATACCATTAATATATAAATATAATTTATTTAATTTATAGGTAACACTAGGGATACTAGGAATAAAATTATGGGCAGTTATAATGGGTTCTATTTGCTTTTGACACAATGCTTGCATCCAGCCGTTAAGTGACTGAATGCTAGTGGGCGGGGCCTATGGTGAGATGATGTCTTGCTCTGGAGGCATGTTTATGCTAATGTTTGTGCCCTTGTGACGTCACATGCCACCTCAGATCCAAGTAAACTGTTTTTGGAGCTTAATTAAATAAATTCTTTGTTTATAATGAGGAGGACATTTTCAGTGGTCGACCGATATATCGCCACAGGCGATATTTGGAATTTTTTTAATATCGGCATTGGCCGATAAGTCTTTACATGTGGCCGATGTTTTTCAAAACTGATTATGACACCATATCGTGCATTTATACATCCTCTTTAAGACGAGCCACTCAGATGTAAAGCCAGCACCTGACAGACAGTAAAATGACCAATCATCATTCACTTTCTAACGTGACGCTAAGTTGTGTTGCATACAATAACATTCCGGCGTGCAGCAAAGACTTATTCAAACGTACCTTGAGACATCAGATCTGCAGTCCAGCGGCAGCTCCGGTGGGAGACAAACAAAAATGAAACCGTGTTTACCTCACAAACAATCAAAAATCCTGCAACTGGCTCTTCCACAGATATGCGTGTTGTTCTTGGGTATTTTTAAACAAGAAGCTGTTTTCCGGTGGACTCAAAAGCCGGTGCACTCCACAATGAAAGCTGGGTCAACAGTTACATACTATTATGTAATAATAATACATTTGAATTCCTTTATATATTTATTCAGGAATATCCGCTGTATTTGATTGCCCATGATTGGTGCAATATTGTGTGCAGTATACCTTTTCATATGTTCCAGTTTTATTTAATGCTGCTATATACTGATAACCAAGCATGTACTTCTACGCCTTCAGGTTTGTATTATTTTTTACAATGAAACAGACAAGCATAACGAAACCGATCAGAGATGTATATCTTTATTATTAACCAACTATCCCATGCTATAATTAAAACAACCCGTTGCTCGGTAAACTATATATGTATTGTACATAAAATACATGGAATCACACATACTATTTTTGACATTTATTTATGAATATTAATTTGTTCATTAATTATGAATGTTAGAAAGGCTGCACTAAGGCCCAATCCCAATTCTATTTTATACCCCTTCCCCTTCCCCTACCCCTCAGCCTACCCCTTCCCCTTGTCCCTTGAAACAGAGTGTCAAGGGGTAGGGGTGAATATATTCCCTTAAAAATTGGGACACCACTACTATACTATCATACTTCGTCTAGCTCCTACAATAAACACACCTATGCTGGTGTGCATTAGAGCCTTTAATTACCGTTCTATATTAATGCGCTGCTTACTCACACACACACACACACACACACACACACACATATCAGAGATCGCGCAGCTCACACATCCAGGAGCAAAGAAACTTCAACACTGCCCCATGACTTTTATTAATAACGGTTTAAATACTGAATCGCTACATTATATTTTCCAGCAACGAGAGGATAAAATCGCTGTTTTTGAAGTAAACTCACTCTAAAAAGAAAAAACGCACAAAAGGGCATACACGCAACTTTCATCTCTCTCTCTCTCTCTCTCTCTCTCTCTCTCTCTCTCTCGAATTGGCAATATTTGAGAAAAGGGTTTAGCGGTTTCTAATTATTGGGGGGACTAGCCCCCCTCAATGTCTACGGTGGTTATCGCCCTGATCAGACATGAAAATATGTTGTTGCACTATCGTGCAGTCAGTAATGATATGACAGCGGCAGCGCCTGAGCACACAGTGTTCACATTCTCCTTGTTCGCTGTCATCGTTAACAGTTCTGTCTAAATACGTATAGAAGTCTGTCTAATAATCAGATAGAACGGTTAAACAAAGGAATTAAAATGTATACAAAAAGTCTTATAACGATTGCTTTTATATTATTAGTAATAGAAAGGCAATCATTATAATACTTTCTTGTTTGCCGTCAGCATTTATACCATTTAAACAAATCTTTGAATGTCTAATAAACATCTAATTTCAAAAACCTTGCAAACTTAGTCGGATCCAGTTTTGAGATCTTGTGAAGTGTGCATGTGTATCCTGCATGATCGCGTGTTCTCTGCGTGACGGTCGATCTGTGTGAATTGAATACGGACAGGAGGAGAGTTCAGCTTCACTGAGACGCGCGATCGACAAACTTTAAACTCGTTGGTTCTTTTTGTTCGCTCGGGCAGCCATGTTGCCGCTGAAGCCAGTTTACGCTGAGATAATTCATACCCCTTCGTTTGAAGTGTGGTCCCGAAAAATCTTCGTTTGAAGGGCTGTCTGGAGGGGAAAGGGGAAGGATTAAGGGGTAGAATTGGGATTGGGCCTAAACCTTGTTCATTTAAGTGTTACCTCTGTTGTTTACATTTTAATTGTTTAGGTTATATACAGTATATATATATATATAGTTTTTTTTTTTTGTAGATGTGTCAGCAAAAGAAAAGGAAAGGCTGCACTGATTGTTACCTCAAATGTTAAAATTTTTAAAATTTAGGTTTTAATAAATATTTATGCATAATAAATGTTCATTTAGTTTCACCAATTTTCTACATGTCTCTCATTTACTGTAATTACATGTATTATATCGGCCTCATATCGGCCAGATTGATTTCTTAATATCGGCCATTAAAAATCCCATATCGGTTGACCACTAGACGTTTTAAGCTATGAAACTTGCAGAATGTTTTAATGGTACAAAGTTGGGGTGTGCGATATTATGATTTTTGATCATGGACGATTTAAATATCTCCACAATCTGCTTTTAAAGAAATATCATAGAATCGTGCTACAGCGCATATTATATCAGTTGCAATTCTGCCGCCTCCGTCTCAATATACTGTACAACACAACATACATTCACATCAAATATTAACTCACGGGAGATACACTCACGGGACACTGCACTTATTCGCAATCACAAAAGTACATTATTTGCATGTGCTTTAAAGCCTTGCCAGTTTAACTTTTCATTTGCGT